TACTATAAAAGCAGGATGCCGAATGAGATAAGTTTATCACCAGTGTTGAACGTCGGGTCGGAAAATCTACCTAACGAACGCCCGATGAAATACGTTATGAGCAAGAGGGGTGATATGATGCAGCTTAATAACACCAAAGGAGCAGGCGGGGTTTTAAATCAGGATACAGCACCTGCAACCACCTGCAGGCCATCAAAACACTGATAGAAAAATGTTACGAATATCAGAAACCACTAATTATAACCTTTGTGGATTATGAAAAGGCATTCGAATCTGTTGAGGCCTGTGCCATTAAGATAGCGCTGGCGGATTGCTGAGTAGACGAGAGGTAAATTGGAGTGATAAGACACCTACAGAAACATGCCACCGCTTGTGTCGGGCAGCACGAGAAAACACCAAAATACCAACAAGCCCGAGGAGTTAGACAAAGTGACACGATATAACTAAACACCCTAAACTGTTTAAAATTGCTTTAGAGAATAAATTTGAGAAATTAAAATGGAATAAAAAAGGGGGATACATAAACATTCAGGGATAACATCAACATTCTGGCGGAGTGTCACAGACATGTTGGACGTGATAGAAGATCTGGAGGTAGGTATAGAGGACTTGAAGATGAACCTAACAAAGACTATGATCATGACCAATATCCGGAAGCAAATGGCTGTGATTTTCCAGTTGAAGTGGAGAATACATCTACCTGTTCCACAAAATCACACAAGACAGCGCTAACCAAATGGCTGAAGTAAAACAACGAATATCACAGGCCTGGGCAGCTTTCGGTGCATAAGAATATACTTAAGAGTAAACTGTTGATTGAACTAAAGGCCAGTGTTTGAGGAAAGCATCATGCTAGTCTTAACGTATGGCTCTGAAACCATGTCTCTCCCTGAACGAACACTTGAAAATTTTAGGGTTGCACATAAGGCGATAGAAAGAGCTATATTCGGAATAACTTTCTGCGACAAGAAAAGAACTGAATAGTTTCGGCGGAAAACGGGGGTGAGAGATGTGCTCCAAGTAATTGCGGAACGGAGGAGGTGGAGTTCGGCGGGTCACGTGGCTCGAATGCAGGAAGGACGATGGGCAAGAAGAGTTCTCGAGTTTAAAAGACCGAAGTATTCGGACAAACGACTTGTAAATGAACGGAATCGTTTTGATTACTCGACGCCGTTTTCCTTCCAAGCAGTAGTACTAAATATTTTCCCTCCAAATATCCCCAAAAAATGCTTTCTTTAAATTTGGGGGGAATCCCCCCGATCTGGCATCACGACAGAACGTATCTTCGTTCTAACCCGAACGTAAGTAAAACAATGAAAATTATTGCATCGGGTGCCTGAAATCGAGTAATGTCTTTCGTGCATCCGTATAGGGGTCACAAGACTCGTGTCATGAGGCGTCATGGTGCGTAAGGGCACTAAAAGAAGACACCAATAACTACATTAAGAGGCAAGGGCGTCGCCAAGGGGGGGGAGGGGCAGCTGCCCCCCCCCCCCCCTCTAGAGATGCTAAAAAAGTTGCCAAATATAATACAACCAAAGTCCTAAGTTTTTGAGTTGATTTGCTTGAAGTTCAAGCCTTGAACAATCATTCCCGTACGTCGAAACTCGAATGAATTCACCAATTCCACTCCTAATATTCCGTACGCTCAACTACGCTCCGCCTGGACTACTCTATCGTTGAAGCGGAAGAGGGGGAGGGTGGAAGCAACATGTAACCGCGCGGCGCCCGCGCCCCCAGCACAGCCGCCTTTGTTTTACCGTCTGTCTGTCATTCATTCGTGCATTAGCGTTGCCACTGCCCGCTTTTACGTTTGTTTTGTGCGCTATTATCACATCTAAATAGTTGCTGTGACCACATAATCAATATGGACATCAGAAAGTTTTTTGGTGAGTATCACTTGCGTTTAGCTTTCGTATTTTCCGTCCGTAAAATAACGTCAATTGATTTGATTATAAATGCTGATTTTGCATCGGTTTTTAAAATCGCAAAAACTCCGTTTCTAGTCACGATATCCGATTCTTAAGGGTCGTCAGTTTAAACCAAAAGGAAAATTGATCAATTTAATGGCTCAATCGAAAATAGGACCGTATTACCATAGATTAAAGTAGAAAATTGTATGAATGAATATCGGCAGTGCCGATTCGGCACAGTCGGCTCGCGTATGCTTGAGACTCCAGCACGTGCGTGTCGTCGCGCTCGCTCTAGAGTGCTCGAGCAAGGATACCCGAGCGCGCCCGTGTTACCGGCGCTGGCCGCCGGCGAAACTCTGAAACCAGCCTAAACCGCCCGAAGTAGGCTGTTGATATATAAAATATCGTTGACGCTCGACCTTGCGCGGGCTTGAGCCTGCCGCCGTCTTGAAGCGCATTTATGCTTTCAATGTGAATTGCGGACCAGAAGAAGTTGTAGCTATTTCAAATATTTTGTTTTGCAGTTTTAAAAAGAAAGAAACCTGAAAGAGCAAGCAGTGACAGCGATGATTCCGTGGGTGACCTGACGAGACCTAGCACATCCAAAGAACCGGACTTAGTTCCCGACTCTTCGATAAATGACTGCAACGAAAAATCGACTGAAATGAAGAAAGAATTGCTTGAAAACACTTGGTATCCGTCTGCGACGTATGACTTTGCGGAAGACGCTAAAAATATAAAGAGGATATTCAATTATTCATGGTTGGAAACGTACTCTCCATGGTTGGCCTATTCCAGGCACACGGCGTATTAGGGTCATTTATCATAAGGCTGTTTTGTAAGTTTAAAGATATTCACGAGCATTGCAAAAAGCACATGGAAACCCACTTCCATAAGATGGCACTGGAAGCCGCTAAATCATTTCTTGGAAGTGTGCCTGTAGATTTACAACTCAACAAATACTCCCAGGGCATTATTGAAGAAAACCGAAAAATTATAACATCTATTATTTCCTGCATTACGTTTTGCGGGTCGCACGACTTAGCTTTGAGAGGAAAACATTATGGCGAAGGTATTCTCGAGGACTTATACAAGCTACGAATTGACGCGGGAGATTTAGTTTTGAAGAAACACATTGAGCATGGGAAAAAGAATGCAAGCTATCGATCGATTGATATTCAAAATGAAATTATCGCAATTTGTGGAGATGTTATTAAGGCAGACATTGTGAAAAAAGTAAAAGAAGCAGAAGCTTATAGTGTGTTAGCAGACGAAACAGCTGATATTTCCGGTACTGAACAATTATCGATTGGGCTGCGATATTTTGACGAGGAAGCCAATGAGGTCCAAGAAATGTTCGTCGGATTTGTTGAGCTGAAAGGTCTGGATGCGAAATCTATTGCATATTGCATCGATGAATTTCTGACAAAAGAAAACCTTAATCCTGCTGAAAAATGCGTTGGTTTTGGATTTGACGGTTGTTCGACGATGTCCGGAAAAGACGGTGGAGTACAAGTGATCCTGTGCAAAAAGTATACCAAAGCATTGATCTTTCATTTTTCGTCCCATAAACTGAATCTGGTAATAAATGATCTCAATATTCTTCCTGAAATTCGAAACACCATGGGAACCACTAAAGATATTATTAAATTTTTTTCGGAAATCTGTTTTGAGAAGAAAATTGGTACCTAATATTGCCAGGCTCTGCGAAACAAGATGGAGTGAGAAACATAAAACTATCAGAGTATTTTCCTGTTATATTGGAAGCCTTAGAAAACTTATCGCGTGAAGGAAACAGTGCGACTCGAAATAACGTCTTTCAATTCCATGCGGCTGCTTTCAAAATTTCGTTTATACTTTGTATTACTTTGATAGCTAAATACTCTGCTTTGTTGGAACCTATTGTCAACGCACTCCAATCCATAGCTTTGGATGTGGTTAAGGCCTCGCAACACGTCAAACGCATTTTGCAATTGCTTAAGAGCCACCGTGATAATCCCGAAAGAGTCACAGATGAAATTATAAAGGATGCTACTGTTGTTGCGGAGAAAATCGGCCTGGAGGAGGATATCACTTCAATGCCGCGCATTGTTGTGAAACAACGTCATCGAAGCAATCAACCAGCAGAAAGCCCTTCAGAATTCTGGAAAAGATCATTAATAATACCATACTTGGACTCCGTTATTACATCGCTTGAAACACGCTTTGTTGTAGAAAATACTAGATCATTTGCTTTATCTAAATTACACCCCGCACAAATGCAGACGATGTCAGTCGAAAATCTCACAGGAACTTGTGAAACTATCGCTCAATTTTATAATTTACCAAACACATAAATTGAAGTCGAGCTTTGGCAGCAATTCTGGCATAATAAACCAAACTCAACAGATCAAACCGTTGTTGACATCCTAAAAATGAAGCAAAAACTTTCTTTCCCGACACGGAAAAAGCGTTGAAAATTTTGATCGCTCTTCCATGCACGACGTGTACGGTAGAGCGATCGTTTAGCAGCCTCAGGAGACTAAAAACCTGGCTAAAAAGCACTATGAGTGAAAATCGCCTCAATGGTTTGTTTGGCCATGATGAGTGTGCACCGAAAACTTATACATGGAAACTTACAAGATTTTAATAATAAAGTGGTCGAGAAGTTTACAATGAATCCCCGAAAATTATGTTTTAATTAACCTAATATAAACAAACAACTACCACTATAATATTAAAATCTTAAAAAAATATATATAAATTTAAAAAAAAATACGTTGTACACTTATTCAAATTCAAACTACTTTTTATTTTATTTTTCTAATAAATGTTATTATAACTCATTTACAAGTTTTTTATTGCATAGTCAAGAGCTCGTGCTCATGTAGCTTTACACATTGGACTCTGTACTGTCACAGAATATATATGTATATAGTACTAAGATACTGTTGTTATTACAATCGCTGTAGATGTAAGACTCGTAGTAAGTGAAAAGTTTCATGTGCTGTCGACTTTACCTACAATTCATACCTACTTTTCTCATTCATAGAGAATGAAAAAAGTATGAATTGTAGTAGGTAAAGTCAACTTGCCCCCCCCCCCCCCCGCGCCATCGGCTGGCGACGCCCTTGTTAAGAGGCATATCAATACTTGTTCAGAGTTGCGATATCCCCTTGATACATACGTTCTTCGGCTATTAATTAAAGAAGGTTAGAGATAGAATGGAAATGTGGAGGTGAGGAAATTAAAAAATAATATGCCCGGTACTGATTATGTAGATTGTTTCCTAAAAAAAAACAAACAGACAATTTCTAAAATAATCAAAGCATAATACAAAAAGTGCTAGAGCAAAAGTTTCTTCTGAAATAATAAGTACTTTGAACTACTACACATTCTTAAGAACCCCCTATGCCTTCTTCTAGACCGGGGCAAGACGGGAAGTGTGCTTGTGTGTGTGACTGCTGAACACAACAGAGCTTAACACAGAGCCATTCGCGCGATGTTCAGTCGCGTCGCACGAGTCCGGAGGGTACGTATGTGTCACTGCGTGTTTTGGCTGGGCGGCGATAAAAAAGTTTTTTGGGGGGTTTTTACGAAGTTTTCTGTTTTAATCGATGTGCACCAAGGTAGGAATCAGTGCTATTGTATTTATTTACAACATACTTGTTGCAGTAGTGTAAAACTAACGAATTTAGATTGCTTTTTCGTAGAATAATTTAGCAGGTTAGAACTGTTATTATTTTTGTAAAATGTGTCTGATGGGGCAAAAAGGTCGAGGCAAAATGGCATAGTATCCCGTTTTGCACCATATTGATTTGTACTACTATATAACAAAAAGTTTGTTTTTTGTTTGTTAACTACAAAGAAAATGGTACAAAATTATGAACGAAAAGCAGATAGAGGAAACATGGGAAGAAGACGATATGAGAAGAGCGTTTAGAGCTATGCTTTCTGAGACAATGGGATTTTTTAGAGCATCAGCTACACATAAAGTGCCTAAATCGTTCGTGGAACGTCAAGATGCTGACACCGATTCAGATAATGACTATGGGAGAAAGAAATTTGGGCGTTATAAAACAGTTTTTAATAAAGAACAGGAAGAAGAATTATCTCAGCACATTAAATCAATGGAAGCGCGCCTTTTCGGAATAACTAGCAAAGAGCTTCGGATTTTAGCTTTCCAGTTAACTGATAGAAGCCATATTCAGAACCCATTCAGCGCAGAGACTGCAATGAATGGAGAACACTGGCTCAGAGGATTCCTAAAAAGGCATCCTGGACTTTCATTTAGACGACCAAAGCCAACTTCTGCTTCGAGGACTATGGCTTTTAACAAAGTGGTAGTAAATGAGTTTTTCACATTGTTAGAAAATGAAGTAGATAAGCATGACCTTACACCTGATAGAATTTATAACGTCTATGAAACCGGCGTTAGTACTGTGCCGCAAGCAAGCAAGTTGGCTGCTTGTCATCTGCAGAAAGAGGGCAATTAGTTACGGCTGAAATCTGTTTTAATGCCGCCGGAACTTATATACCACCAATGCTGGTCTACGCTCGAATACGAATGAAGAATGAGTTGCTAAATGATGCACCACAGGGATTTTAGGGGACCTGTAGGGATAATGAGTGGATAACTTCGCAAATTTTCTTTGTCTGGTTCAAAATGTTTGTAGAAACCGTAAAACCCACCAAAAAACTCAGTCTTGGTACTACTGGACGGCCAAGCGTCACACACAAAAAAAATTGTTCAACTATGACCAAAAATAAACCAGTTGTTAATGTCAACAGCTAAAGCCTCCGTGTGCATGTAGACATTTCAAAGAATTTGGGAAAACAAATTTTCAAAGGAATTTTGCAAAACATGTTTTATTTGGGATCAGCGTTAGCAGTTTATAGCCAATAATGTCACAAAAGAACAGAAACGTTTGATGCTTTATTTGGAATCAGCATTAACAGTTTATAAGCTAATAATGTCACAAAAGAAGAGAAACATTTAATGAGACCCATGGGAATATAGATACTGACAGAAGAAAATCTACATAAGTACAGACTTATCGAATCAATCAGAAAGCCAAAAAGTATGCAAGAAAGTTACTTAACACACTTTGTATAGAAAAACAGCTTCACAGTGGGATAATTGCCCCTGACCAGAGGAAAGCATATCTCTGCTTATAAATCACTACCAGTAATAATTCAATCAGTTATTGAGCACACCAACCAGTTACGAAAAGCCATTATTCAAGGAAAAAGACCAGACACAACTTTTTAGGACAAGGACTTAAACATTCCTATTATTATGAAGTATGTCTTGAGTCAAGGTTCGTACGGTTCAGACACTCCTTTCTTTTGAAGTATCCGAACCGGATGACATTGACAATATGACTGACTTGATTACTGACAATGAACGAATGACCAGATCTGTCAGGATGGTAAAACGACCAGCCAGATTAATTATAGCACGATTCATGCTCAAGGGTCATACCAATATGGATGTATTTTGATACTCCCATATAGAGCAAAAGAAAAGGAAATTATAACAATGCAGATTACTGTACCACCAGACTGGTCCCAATTCTTTTGAACTTGTGGAGGAATAAGAAAAATTGCCGCCTTTTAAATGCAATCGCACCATTTCAAAGAAATCACTGCATTATACAAAAAAAATGCCTTTTCTTGCAAGAAAAATAAGGGGAAAAGATTTTGAAATATCAGAATGTGTTTTGTTGCAAAGATGAGACAAGAGCAGTCGGGAATCTTGTATTACAAAAACACTTGCACGGAGGATTATCCGAAATAACTCTTATTCGAAATGCATCCAAAAAGACTGCGCTCTCAGAAAATTTACCAAAATTAAGATTAAATGAAAAACTCTCCGACAGCAAAAAACAATGATTTAATGACATTGCTGCAATGGATACCGGAGGAATTATGATCATTACCAGGTCAGCAAATCAACTCAAAATCAACATTATAATGCTCCAATAAGCTTTTTAATAAATACTTTGTAAATCATCGAAATTGGTTCATTCGTTGCGATTTTATAACTAATTTTATGGTAGCCAGAATCGGGATGATGACTAATTTTTTTTCTTCGTTTATCAGGTAGATTATCAAAAAGTATTGGACACGTATTTTTCTTTTTTCACGTAATATAAACATTGCAGAGATATATTGATTTGAAAAGTCGCATGACGTCACGTTTGAGTACACTTACTCCCAAACTTTGACGCGCTATAACTTTGTCATATTTGGTTGATTGCCCAAAGAAAAAATACGTGTCCATTATTTTTTGATCATCTAACTGACGGACTAAATAGAATTTCGTTTACTGTACCCCGTCATCACCCCTATTCACCAGCGGGCCGAAACGTGTGACGTCACAAAGCTCGATCGTGGTTCACTCCGGTCGAACTTTAGTAGCACTTCTACGCACGCTCGCGCCCGAGCGCTAAAGCTCTGTGACGTCACAGTCACTACGCAGACTGCCCAAAAATTCGTTTAGTATTTTGGTCATAACTTCGTCAATATATGTCGTAGAACAAAAATTTAACCACTGTATTTTATGGGATCCTTAGCTCTATTAATCTGCATTCTCAACTTAAATTGTTTCGGATCCTCATTGCATGCATTCTTACAAAATGCAAAAAACTTATTCATTCAAACAATGATTCAGATTTTCCAGAAACGGATGATTAATATTGTAATTGAAATACTTGTCAAGGCTGATAAATTTATATTTGAAGGGCTAAGGGGAAATCAGGCTAAGTTACATTAATAAAATTTTACAGTACACGCAATTAAAGGTGCGACATCATTTTATGATTGACTCAGAAAATCTACTCATATACAAGCAGTTGGTTTTAAAAGTAACTTTAATAGTAATAATTTTCTGAATAAAAATTGCACAATCATTAAAACTAAATGCTATTTCATTAAAACACCCTACTCGTAACAGTCTAGGAAAGAAGTAGATAAAAAATAAGAACAACGACTTTTACCCTATTTAGGGTTCCGTAGCCAAATGACAAAAAACGGAATCCTTATAAATTCGTCATGGCCGTCCGTCTGTCCGTCCGTATGTCACAGCCACTTTTTTCCGAAACTATAACAACTACACTGTTGAAACTTGGTAAGTAGATGATGATGTAGTATTCTGTGAACCGCATTAAGATTTTCACACAAAAATAGAAAAAGAAGAAGGAATTTTGGGGGTTCCCCATACTTAAAATTGTAACTCAAAAATGTTTTTTTCATCAAACCCATACGTGTGGGGTATCTATGGATAGGTCTTCAAAAATGATAATGAGGTTTCTCATATTTTTTTTTTCTAAACTGAATAGTTTGCGCGAGAGACACTTCCAAAGTGGTAAAATGTGTGCCCCCTGTAACTTCTAAAATAAGAGACTGATAAAACTAAAAATAATATATGATGTATATTACTATGCAAACTCCCACCGAAAATTGGTTTGAACGAGATCTAGTAAGTAGTTTTTTTCAAAACGTCATAAATTACAAATCAATTAAAAAAAACACTATTATTAAAACAGCGATCAAAGTTACAACGAATTACAAGAACTTTTATATTATGTTACTTGCTGCTACGGAAGCCTTCATGGGCGAGTCCGACTCGTACTTGGCCGCTTTTTTTGTGATAGCCATAGGATGAAATAAGTATTTTTGTGACCATGGATTCCAAAAAATAAATTTAGGAAAAAATGGTCTAAACCTGTTTTCCCCCTTAGCCCTTCATTTTTTTTTATTTTAAGACATTTAGAAGCGATTTGATAACTTAGGTTCTTCTTTAAATCAACCTAAAACTGAAATTTAATTTAACTCTCCTTATAAGTTGATAAGTCGGACATAAGACTATATGCGTTTCACGTCGAAAAAACATTATTGTGCCACGAATGAATTAAGATATGTTTGACTGGAAGGAATCGAATATTTGCGTATTTATTATTGCGTATTAAAAAACATATTAAGATATCTTTCCACAAAACTACATCCATAAATTGACTTTAATATGTACCTATATTCAGTAAGTTTTGCAATCATGGGTACAAATGATTTCGCTCCACTCAGTAAAAAAAACAGCTCATGTGATAAATTCCTGGACCATTGGAATTTCGAATTCCTTCATTGAAATAAATATAAAGGAGTTCACGCTTATTTCAGATTAATTGATTCGATAAGGATTCCCACCAACTAGTGATTTTATCATGGTTGAGTCATTCAGATAAATCGAAGGCACAGCCCCACGTCATCGTTACGACATTAGGAATAAAATCTACCATAAAGTTAGCGTACGTACAGTTAATATTACATAATGAGCTTTAAAAATAGTGAAGCCGTTAAATTGGATTAGGTAAATCAATAAGAATCCAATTAGTTGTGTATATCAAAACTCTCATTATAGAATCTTTATAAACACGAAAATTTAAATGATCAATTATTAGTATCAATATGATGTACAAATCTGAGTCAATATTGAATGACCACATGAAAAACCAAATAACTCTCGAAAAAAAAATCCACATTGATCAAACTATATCCAATTACAACATACCGCAGAAGATTTATCCTCTAGTCAACAGAACAATTTCAAAAATAACTTACTCTTGCTTCATAGATACTTTCTTTTCATTAGTAATTTAGCTCAATCCGTAATATTTACTGCCTGTCAGTGTATAGAGAATCCAAACTTTGAATGAACACTTCTCCTCGTGACTGTTCATAGTTCCTCGTCGCCAATGGCATCGAAAGCGTTGTTCTCAACGCAGTCTCTCCCCGACTTGAAAGCGACTGACGCAAACTTTTCTGCTAGTTTCTGCACCGAAAATATTTCTCTTGAACTACCTGACGTACACGAATCCCCATTCTGCAAACAGATAATAGGGGTTATTCACCAACTGGACAGACGTGGTGTGTCCAGGTAGCTAATAACGACCTCCGTGGTTCATCGATATGTACACTGGTTTATCAAATTATAGGTTAGCAACGAATGCCTTCATATGACAGGACCATGGTCATCTTGGCATGGCTCATGGTTTTGTTTCATACAGTGTCGTCAATTGAAAGATTACTTCAAAAACTGATAACATGTGTTGATGTCAAATGTCTAAATGGTCCAAATAGGAAAAAAGTGAGTTAGTTACCGCGGAGCTGAGCGTGTCGCTGGAGGAGGATGGCGTCACGAGGTGGCTGGAGCCGTCGCGGCGCAGGTACGTGAGGCTGCCGCGCTTGCAGTACCGCGGTGACGTGGGGCCCGTGCCGTTCTTTTGTCGCATCAACTCGTCAACTATCGACTAAAAACGAAATTATTTAAGTAGAAACAGTGGAAAAGGCTAACAATATGGCACTGCTATTGGTACGCGACCAACATAACTTACCCTTCGCCCCACGACAATGACGATAGACCTACATCTAGTAAAAATATGACCGAGCGGTCATATTTTTAGTAATCACGATTGCTGGAAAAGCATAGGCTCTGGCCAGCTCTTTTCAATTCTATCGTCTTACTGCTAGATTTGACACAATTACTTTTTTTTTATTACGATTGTCATTCGGTAACTCTGTAATAGCGCCAAAGGAAAATCTTTGCTCTCCGTCATGGTTTTCGCATGCGAATTACCATCATACTCTTGCGTTTCCTAATTTGATATTTGTGTGTGACAACGGCAAACTAGAGCCGAGTTTCGAGTCTCTCTCAGAGACGCCATCTAGTTGAAGCAATGCCCCTCAGGCTCGAGTGGCCTAGTGATTCTACGGCGAAGAGAAGACTCCCCCGAGGGGAGATTCACCTAAACTTAATATCCCATAAGGATCTCAACGACCGAAGCCCGGTGGAACTGTCAAGGTCATCTACATAAAAAACCAACCTATAGGCGCTTGCGATAGTATCAGTCGCGCGCTGCCTTTCACCTACATAAATTACATCATATTATTTCTTTGGTAGTATTTTTTTTCTAAAGTGGAGGTTGCCTGCCTAGGTGGGCTCAAATTCGCTTAATACGAACACGATTCAATATTTTTTCTGCATAATACGAAATTAAACGTCGGTACCTAAATCCCTACAGCTTGCGGCATATTTTACACATACAAATTTTATGAAATTCTTCATTCCATTTCATAATAAGACCCATAGTTAAGTTTCTTAACCACTTCATAAAAAGTGGCCATTCATTCCGACGTTAAACTATTACTATAGAAACGTAAAATAAATATAGAAATGAATATATTTTACTGAATTACTTTTGTAAGAATCGAATACTCATAAAAATACTGCAACAAAAGCATTAAGATTAGAATTTACGTTTCTAGTAATCTGTAATACCTAATCGTTAACACGCAATTTAATTTAAGTTAATTTTGTTAGTGCACCACAAAGAATGAGGTACCTATTAGTGGGAATAGAGTGATGTCATAATAACACAATAAAGCCGACGCTTTAAAATGCAAGCTCTTAACATTTACCATTTCATATTTCGCCATTCCTACAAAGTCGTTTCCTAACTTATGATTTATTGAGCTAGCTTTACTCAATTATTCAAATATCATTATAAACATGTCTGCAAATGAAAAAAAATATTGCCTATCTACATATATAGAAATTACGGATAACTATTAAGCAACAAGAAAAAAACTACAAATGCTTCAAAAACTAATTCGTACCTGCAAGCAAACGCTAATGAAGGTTGCATGTTCCGTCTTCAAGGTTATCCATTTCAAATTATCTTTGCTGACGAGATATTCAAATGATAATTCAAAGTTTTTGTTCGGTTCCTCGAGTAGCGGCCCATGCCCGTTGGTTGATGCTCTCTCCATCTACAAGAAAAAAGTTTACTTTAATAACGTGTAAATGAAATACCTAGTCTTTATCATTCGTGTAATAAGGCCGGCACAGACCTTACAACCCGCCGATCGTAAGCGGCAATCATAGTTTATAGACACTTGCGATATCAACCGCGAACTCTGGCAGCTCCGTAATAGTATCGCATCATCAAAGTTTCTATAAAAACTAAGCAACGGGCCCCTACCGAACTTAGGCCCAAAATTTACCCTAAGCCCTAACTAACAAAATCCGTTCAGTGATCTTTAAAACCATTGCGAACACAACAGAGACGCAAGTATTTATTAAAAAAAAGACTGTTTAAACGGTATTGAATAATGTTTTTGAAGTATTTTTTATAATGTTAATTTAGTGTGTAGTTAATAGTCTGTTAAGTTTGCAATCTCAATAAGTGACGTGAAACGGGGCCGGCTATGATGTTTTATTGATACGCCATACGCGCTACTAATTTGGCAATACGAAAGTCGGGTTATTGCCCGACTTGCATTTAGTCGGGCACACTCTCTCGCCGCGGCTACACTTCGCTACATGCGTACAACGCGATTAATGCGATTCAATTAAGAATAGGACCGACTGGGCGCCATATTGTGACGTCATAGCTGTCAATTCAAACCAAATAGGTAGAGTGAGCAAAAAAAGTATTTATTTAATAAAACTCATGTACCAAAATTCAGTGAGAAAAAACATCAGATTTTTTAATAACATTTATTGACTAAGATTGAAAAGAGAAGCGACCGATTTTTTAAAATATTTATTTATTAAGACTGTGTGATAAAAAACATTAATCAGAATCTAGCTCTTCAATTCCGCTCATCTCTGCATAACCGCCGTAGTAGTTATGAATAATCATGTACTATTACTAGGTCACATAAGAACATGCATCCTTTATGTAAACGAAAGTTTTAAATCGAATTTTTGAACGCAACTTCAAGTGACATTTTATTGACGATTTAGGTTGTCAACCATTCATAACCAAAGCTCAATGTATGAAAAAAAAACAACCAACATAATTTAACAATATTTGTTATTGTTTGTTTACAAATGTTTGGTTTTTATTCTAGAATTAGCAGAGTGCTAAAAAAAGGGTTCCAAGATTTTTCTACAAACCGCACTTTTCAAGCGACATTTGACAGATGGAGGTCATTGGCTTTCCTATTCTTATTTAAATCACACTATAAATCCCTATACTGTGTGTGTATTGTACTTATTTTGACAGTTGCTGTTGCTGACACGTGGAGGTTAAAGAGCGAGATGTAATCTGCTTTATGCATGAGAGTGAAAGAGACTACTTTGGTGCGCTCTATTGGCGGTTGTTGCCAAGGGAAGTTGGGAACTACTTGTGCCATTTTAATATGCAATAATGTTGGCTTATAACCTGTCCATATATTATACGTCATTGGGTGTTACGTTGCACGATGTATTGGCATAACGTGCAAACATGGTCGTAAAGCAACGTAACCGGCACAGTTTCACGTTGACGACATCGTCACGACTGGAATGACTCGCCCGGTTCGTGAGCACTATCTCAATAGCATTAAAAAGCGTTTTCATATGTGACTGACATAATCGTATACTTATGTATGTATATGTGTGTATTCTGTTAAGAGTATTTGTATCCTTGGTTTATCTTACATGTCTTTATTGCGCCCCCGTCATATTAGTTTTCTCACGTTCTTAATGATCGACTGGTACAGTTTGTCTATAAAGTCGTGACATTAAATGATGGCGCCACTAGTATGCATGTAGCAACCCTATACAGTCGGACTAAAATGATTTTGATACTAGCAGTTCATTCAAGTAAAATAGGTAATTAATAAGACACACTATACAGTCATATTTTGTTTCTGTTTTATATATAGTAGGTACCTATGCTTATAAAAAGTTTAGTCAAGCATATTTAATTAAATCAGAATAAAATTATTATAGATAAAATAGTACTTTATAGTGTAAAAGTGTGTAATGTTGGTGATTACCGCTGAGCTGCCATTGAGACCAGAGCCGTTAGGTAATCATCAATACACACAAGTGTCATCATACAACGTTTTTTAACACACTTGTTAAGAAAATAATACTAAAAATCATTTTATTGTATATAAAAAGTTTATTTAGAGAAACAATTTGTCAATGTGCAGTTAGTAAAATTAGTGATAGGTATCTTCACTAAAAGCATCTGGCCATGGTTCTTTATGTGACCATTTCTTTCTTTGGTCGGCCTTGCCTGTTTTCCCAGGAGTTTCAAACTTTCCATCATTCTTAAAACCTTCGTTGACTATCCGACTCTCTGATTTTCCTGAAAAAGAAGTAAAAAAATATGTAACGGAATAGAAACAATTAATTCAAAATTGGCAGAAAACCTGACCGAGTTGAACCATAATAACGTATCAAAAGAAATAAACGTACTACAATACAGTGGATCCCCGGTAGTCCGACAAACATTTTGCAGGGCAGTGTCGAACTATCGAATTTGTCGGATTATAGAGTACTGCCTAAGTCCCCCTATTGTCCAATTTTTTTTACAAAATAGTACCTTGTAATCCGACAAATTACAGATCCAATGATAAGATTACAAATCATACTTTGTTATGTACCTATGTCAAATTTAGTTAATTAAACAACACAATAGAAAGATTACGTTTTATTATAAAAGTAACGTCATTCATGCTACAGAATTTACAAAAAAATATAAAGAAAAGTTTACTAGAAATAAATCCACGCGGACCAGGCAGCTGCCGGGACTCGAACCCGCATCCTTCGCAATCCGGGCGAATGCACTGACCATTATGCTACCACGACCCTATTAGCCGCGTCGAAATTTTCCTAGCCTTAAGCTGCAAGGCAGCGCCATCTCTTTGCATTGTAGGTAACCCACAATGTCAAATGATTACTTTTTCAAGTATTAAACATTTGAAAGAAGAAATAGCAATTATAGTCCGCTGCCCGGTCCGCGTGGATTTTTTTTTCTAGTAAACTTTTCTTTAGATTTAAACATCTAGCAGTTAAATGCTTAAAAATAAATAAAATCATAAAAAAATATAAAAAAAAACAATACCCTACGCGTCGAGCACAGTAGGTAGTGACGGTGCGTACAAGTTGTAACTTGTTCAATCGTGAATTAGCGAATACTTGTATGTAATAGACGATGTCGGATTATAGGGGGTGCCGCATTAGCCAGGGGCCGGATTACCGGGGCTCCACTGTATTACCTATTTACAATGTCAATCTAACCTAAAATGTGCAATTTAAACAATAGACCAGGGTCGATAATTTTAAAAATGGTGAAAAGTGAAAAAAAAATATAGTAGGATGAAACCCATTAGAAAAGGTAGAGAATATAACAAAAATGAAAGGAAAAATAAATTACGGGCGATCTGAGGTCGGGAAGGGGGAGGGGGTGAGTTTTTAAGGGTAAAAAATGGTTAATCTCGATTTCCGGTAAAACTGCAAGTCCTATGAAAAAAAGTTAAATGGCAAAGTTGAAGGTAATAAAAAGATCTACAACTTTTGTATCGACACTTTTTTCACATAACCTCAAAATTTATGTGAATAATGCGAATAACCGAGTTTTTGGATTTTGATTATTTGCAAAAAAAATTTTTTTTTCACGAAATTTGGTGAAAACTTACCTTTGTATGTCCCAAACATACAGTAATTTTTTTGATTTAAAATATTCATTTTTTCACCTTATTTTGACTTAATATCCAAAAAGCACCCTAATTTTCAATCGAAAATTCTCACGTCAAAATATCTGCTTTTTTAAAAAAGTTGTCGGTGTTTTTTGTTTGTTGAAATCTCTACTTTCTGATGGTATAAAAAAATATACACTACTATGATAAATGTTCTCAGAAAATGCAAATCAATAGTGAAAAAAACTCGAATCCGAAAATCCTATTTTTAATACCTACTTAAAACAACTATTTTTGCATGTTTTATGGATTTGTAATTTTTCTGTTTATCAATATAATATGAAATCTTACGTTTTTCGAGTAATTAAAGTGTAAATTTTAATAAATAGTTCAAAATTATACATAATGATTCAAATCAATTTTTCGGATTGGAGTTTTTTTCATTATTAATTTGCAGTTTCTGAGAACATTTACCATAGTAGTGTATATATTTTTTATACCATCAAAAAGTAGAGATTTCAACAAACAAAAAACACCCCAACTTTTTAAAAAAAGCAGATATTTTGACGTGAGAATTTTCGATTGAAAATAAGGGTGCTTTTTCGATATTAAGTCAAAATAAGGTGAAAAAATGAATGTTTTAAATCAAAAAAATTACTGTATGTTTAGGACATACAAAGGTAAGTTTTCACCAAATTTCGTGAAAAAATATTTTTTTTTGCAAAAAATAAAAATCAAAAACTAAAAACTCGGTTATTCGCATTTTTCACATAAATTTTGAGGTTATGTGAAAAAAGTGTCGCTACAAAAGTTGTAGATCTTTTTATTACCTACAACTGTACCATTTAAATTTTTTTCTTAGGACTTGCAGTTTTACCGGAAATCGAGATTAACCATTTTTACCCTTAAAAACTCACCCCCTCCCCCTTCCCGACCTCAGATCGCCCGTAATTTAATTTCCAAACATTTTTGTTATATTCTCTACCTTTTCTAATGGGTTTCATCCTACTATAATTTTTTTTGGTCTCAAAAATTATCGACCCTGGTCTACAATGCCTTTTTTGGTCTCAAAATCGTAAATTGAGTAAATTTGTAACTTCAGGCAGATTACAAACAAATAGTTACACGATTACATACCCGTCATAGATGCTGTTCGCCCATAAACATCATCCAAATCCCACAAAATTCGTCCAGCTTAGTAGTCTTCGAAACTTCGCTGGAAAACTTTAAAAATCACTTCTCGCGTGCCACTCCGATTTATACCTTTCTGCGTAGTATCGTCTTAATTTATTACAGTTTAATTCAAACAATAAAAAATACAAAAGGAAAACTGTTCCACAACTGAAACTCGA